GAATTGTTACTTGACGAGGATTCGAAACCAGTACCTTAGAGTTAGAGACTGATAAGTCAACCACTTAGCTACCAGGAATTTTTTATAATAGTTTATAAATAAATTATATTTATATACAAATTAAAATATATATCCTTGTAAATATATAAATATAAAATATATAAATATATATATAAATATATATATATATATATATATATATATATATATATATATATGTTGGATGTGAGGCGCGCTTGAGGGTGAAAGTGTGTCGAGTATATTTTTAAAATTTGGTGTCAAATTTGTGAGCAGGTCTCTTTATATGAGTTTATAATTTAATGACACAATATAATCTTTATAATTTATTTATATAATGATATAAAATAATTTTTTTCTTTATTTATTTTAATTTATTCTTCTTATATTTTTTTCTTCTATTATTTAATTAAAACTCTTATATTAAAATAATTTTTTCAATATTAAAAATAATTAAATATTTATTTTTAAAATTATTTAATTTAACAAATTATTATAAATTAATCTACTTATGATTATTAATAGAACAATTTTTTCCTAACATATATTATTATAAATTAATCAAAATCATCTTTTAATAATTATTTTTTTCTAGACATAGATTAATTCATAATAATTTGTTAAATTAAATAATTTTAAAAATAAATATTTAATTATTTTTAATAATGAAAAATTATTTTAATATAAGAATTTTAATTAAATAATAGAAGAAAAAAAAGATAAAAAGAATAAATTAAAATAAAATAAAAATAAATAAAGAAAACAATTATTTTATATCATTATATAAATAAATTATAAAGATTATATTCTATCATTAAATTACAAATCCATATAAAGATATTCACTCACAAAGTTGACATCAAATTTTGAAAACTCACTTCGACACACACTTTCGCCCTCTAGCGTGATCCTCACATCGAACATATAAATATATAAATATATCAAAATATATAAATATATTTGTATTTATATATTTTATATTTATATATTTACACGGATATATATTTATTTGTATATAAATATAATTTATTTATAAATTTTTATTAAAAAATTCTAACGAGTTTAGTGGTTAGAGTATTAATATCTAACTCTAAGGTACTAGTTTTGAATCTTATTAGTAATAATTTTCTTAATCTGATTAAAAAAAATTGTTAATAAGAGAAATTATATATTTTTGTGGAAATTAGAGTAATTAAATTGTTGTTATGGACTAAAACCCAAAAAGTAAAAAATAAAAAATATAATTAAATAAAAGAAAAACTATATACTTTTGCATTTTTATTTTCAAATATTATTTTTTTTATGAAATTATTTTTAATTAAAATAATTAAAGTGATATATATATATATATATAATTTTTTTTTAATTTTAATTTATTAATATTATCAAATTTTAGCTTCATGATTAAAAAAATACCAATAACATAAATTTTATTAATTCTATAATTTTATATAATTATTATTATAAATTTAAATCTCCAATAATTAATAATATTAACACATTTATTAAATTAAAATTCTTTATTTTAATTAATTATTTTGATTTTTTTAACAATTTTTTTAAATAAAAACGATAAAACTTAAAATTAATTTCTAACTAAATCTTCACATATTTATGGTTAATAGTATATTATATTATTATGTATAAATAAATTTTAAAATAAGTTCACTTAAACTTTACACTTTTATAAAAATACTAATATAAACTTAAAATATTTATCCAATTACTAAATTATTTAAAATATTAATATAAATTTGAAATATCAATTCAATAATTAAAATAATTTTAATTTTTTTATAAATACATTGAAATACATTTTTATTAACATAAAAGTAATATATATATATATATATATATATATATATATATATATCAAAAAGAGACTAAACTAATAATTAATTTAATCATTGATTATATATATAAAAGAGATTAAATTAATAATTATTTTAATGATTGAATCGGTAACTAATTTAATAATTAATTTTAATTTTTTATTTACATACTATATTACTAAATTATTTAATAAGTTAATAAACTATTTTTTAAATTTTTTATAATGTTATTAAATTATCTATTATTTTAAATTATTAAGTAGATTTATATTTAATATATTATTAAAATATTTTTAAAAATTATTTATATAAATAAAAAATAGTCACTAATTTATATATTATTTGTTTAGTGATTGAAATTTTAGTCACTAAATCAGATCACTATATATAAAAGAGAAATCGATCACTAGATTCAGATTACTTATTAGTAACTAAATTTTTCGATCACTAATTTCAATCACTATTAACCATTTTTCTAGTAGTGACCAAGATCGATGAATCGATTTTGTGACTGAATCAGTGATCGATTTACGTGATCGAAATTTTAGTCACTAAATCGAGTCACTAAATATAAAACGAAATCAGTCATCGATTCGAGTTACTATCGATGACTGAATTTTTCGGTTACTAATTTCGGTCACTATTAACCATTTTTCTAGTAGTGACTATTTTACCCTTGGACATTTTCGAAAATTCCTTTCATGTCCCGCAAATGACTATTTTACCCTTGAACATTTTCAAAAATTCTTTCCATGTCCCGAAAATGACTATTTTACCCTTGAACATTTTCGAAAATTCCTTCCATGTCCCAAAAATGACTATTTTACCCTTGAACATTTTCAAAAATTCCTTCCATGTCCCTTTCTTTTTCCTCGTGTTTGCATATTTTAGCAGATTTCAAATTACTCGAGTTTTAGACAACCAAATTAGTCCCAAATTCAAATTAAACATGATTTATATCTAATTTAAGTTGAAAACAATAATTTTACCATATAATTCATCCTTAATTTCAAGAATTCCAACAAAATTTCAAGTTTTGCAAAACATGAGAAATCTTCAAAATCAATCATTCTAATGTTCAGATTTTCACTCTTATTCCTTATTCACAGAGTACTCAACAATTCAGTCTCATATATTGAATGAATTAAACTTCTCCTTACCTAGTGTAGTATTTCTACCGAAGTTTTCCCACTTAATTCAAGTTCTCTCCTGTTTCACGAGATCCTACACGAGTAGAGTCTCGATGCTTGAAATTTAGACAAAAGAAGAAGAAGGATGAAAAGAAGAACAACTTGCTGAAATTTCCTGCCTCCTCCCCCCTTTCTGTACGCGCATATATATAAAAGAAAAATTTTACTGTGCATGAGGAAAACTTTGTTACAAGTTTTCTTGCACAATAATATTATTATAATATATAAAAAAAAATACGTCACACTAATCCTTAGTTTTATATATTTTTATTTTATTTTATTTTGGTCCTATTACACTCCAGACACAACATACTAATTTAAGATACCAGACAAATTACTTAATTTGAATATAAAATAAAATAAATAAACATGAAAGATTTAAAGTTAAATATAAAAGAATTTTCTAAAACCTAGAGAATAAAATTGAAAAAAAAATTGTAAATAAAAATGACAATTTTACTCTTTAAAAGAAGGGTAACATAAATCCAATCATTGTGAAGGCATTATTAATTGACAGACATCATTCATCCAAGAGTGTCTTTTTGTGTTACGAAATTTCTTAATAATTGTTTCAAGTTTGAAGATTGTGCATGTGTTTTGACATTTGTGATGAATGTTGAGAAAATTTTGGAGAAATATATATGGAGTATATTCGTCTCTTCTCTTAGATTTTGATAGGTTGACATTTCAGCGGATAGGCAAGTGGCAAAGAATGAAATTTGCTACTCTCAGCTTAAAGAGTTAAGTAATATTGCAAATGTTTAATATTCAATTTTTGAAAACCGATCAATACAACTTCCCATTATATATAATAGGCTTTACCTTATAAGAATACTAAAAATTGAAAAGTCAGATTTTACAAGACCAAGTAAAATTTCCTATTCTAATCATGTAAATAGCTTCAAGCCTTGTTTCTTATAATCACGTAACTAGTTTTTGTTTTCTAGTTAAATTTTCTCAGTATGAATTTCACTGTGTTTCTTTACGCATCTTAATATTCATTCACCTCTTTTCTATATTATGCTATTGAACACACACATCGTTTAACTTCCACAAGAGAGTTTTCATATAATATCAAGAAAATTTGCCGTATAAGTGAAAAAAAAACTTATAAATATTTAGTCTTTGAATTGAAAATGAATTTTTTATTACCAACCTTTATTTTTTTAGAAACATTTTTATTTTTATCATCTAATTGTTTTTTTTTAACTAAATTACAATTTTGATCCCCTTTTAGTTTTTATCCACAATTTTGCTTTTCTTATTACTTTTTCTGTTATTTTAATCTCAAAATTGTAGAAAAAAAAATTTTAATTTTACATTATTATTTTTATTTTATTTTGGTCTTATACACCCCAGACACAACATATTCATTCAAGATACTATAAAAAAAAATAATTAGAATATAAAATAAAATAAACATGAAGGTTAAATAAAAGAATTTTCTAAACTCCAGAGAATAAAATTGAAAAAAAAATTGTAAATCGAAATAAGAAAGATTCAAGATTACAATTTTACTCTTTTGAAAGAAGGGTAACATATAAATCCAATTATTGGATCAATATCATACGAAACAAATAAGAGTGCAAATAGAAGAAGAGAGAGAAAAAGGTAAAGGACAGACAAAATTAAATGTGAAGAGACATTATGAATTGATATAATAGGTGGAAGTAGACAACGAGAGTTGTCTTTTTGTGTCATGAGATTTCCATCACATGATGTTCCAATAATATTACATTGAAAATTGCCGACTCTCAGAACTGTATAGAATTAATTATTTTGTTAATAATTGTTTCAACTTTGAAGATTGGTGCATGAGCTTTGACATTTTGTGCTCAATGTCCAGAAAATTTTGGTAAGATATATATGGATAGTGTCTTCATCTGTTCTGATAAGTGTGAGAGAGGAAGATGAATGGCATTATTATATGCATGTGTGTGGGTGTTCAAATGATCAAACCATGGCTGCTTCACAACATGGGACCAGTGACCTCTAGATTCCACACCAAACATTTGGCGTTTCACACAGTGACAATGAAAACAATAAATGACTCGGATTGAGACCCTGCATGAATACAGTCCTCTAGCCACTATAAAAGCACATGACTCGATGTGTTCCATGCACCACCACCAATAGTTAAGATGGCTAATTCCTACTTAACCTTGCTTGTTTTGATCCTTGTAGCTCTCATCCTCACCCCCCAAGGGCTTGCTGAATCTGACTCTGACTTCTATAAACCCCCCAAGTATAAGTCACCTCCCTACAAGAAACCACCATACAAGAAACCACCAGTGTATAAGCCACCAGTGTACAAGCCCAAACCAAAGCCATACAAGCCACCTTATGGTAAGCACCCACCAGTTGAAGAAAACGACCACTTCTAAAGCTTGCAACGTGCCATGTCAACTATGTACTAAATAAACTTCAGTTACTTTCTGTCTTCTGCGTTAGTAAATTTCATCTTTGTAGCAATGCATGAATATTCTTGCCACTTGGACTTCAATCTTTTGTTCAATGCTATATGTGGCCAAGAAAAAAAGCATCTTCTGTGTTTCATTGGATGAAATTAGTTATAAGAACATGATGATTGCTTGTACTGTGAATTCATAAATAAAAAGAGTTTTATGGTTTCAAGATTCTGCTGTTTGATTTGATTGATTTACTGTAGCACCGTTAAATATGCAGTCCAAGTTTTTCGGCTAGGTTTTAAGGATTTTGTTTGTGACAATATTATAGTATCTATCGATTCTATGTAGTTAGTTAATGGTGTTTATGAAGACATCACTTGTAATTTTTTACGACAGCATTTCTTACAAGATTCTAACTTCGTAAGATTCGATTTTAGTATTATATTTTAATGCATAAGATGATATATGTAAATAATTTATCTTTCATTTTATATATATTTTTATTATTTATTATTAAAAAAATGTTTTGGAATATAAGGGTTCAAGATTATATATATTTGTGTTTTCATAAAATCTATACGATTGACAGAAGTTAAAAAGAAGCGTTTTATAACATCATTTGATTTAAAAATATTCTTCAATTAAAATTTTCAAAGGAATATTGAGAAAGTTTGTTCAAAAGATAATAAATTGAATATAAAATATTTATGTTTAAAAAAATTAATTTTATTAAAAATGTTAAATATAAGTCAACAGTCTATTTAAGTATTTAAAGGATATATTAATAAAATGAGAATAATACGGGTAAAATAATTATTAATTATATTATCAATTTTATGAATTGATATCACTTTAAGGTAAATTAAGAAATTAAATTAAACGTATAATGACACAATAACCAGTTGATTAATTTCAAATTAAATATTAGATATTCTCCTAACAGAGTAACTACTCTTTAAATTACAATTTTTTTAATTGTAAGAAAATCGAAACAATTTATATACCTGTTCAACTAATTAAGCTAGAATATTTTAAATGGTTCGATAAAAATTAGTATTTCATTAAAATCTTTCAAACTATTTTTTACTGACAAAAACGATGAAACTTAAATTTTTTATTTTTTTTAATGTACATTATTTTTTAATTAAAACTTTAAATTAATATCATAATTAAACTAAAATTTCAATAAATAAATAAAAAACTTGAAAATGACCTAATAATTAAAAATCTTATCCATTTTAAATTCTAGTAAAACTAATTCATGTTACTTTTTTTTTCATAAGAATTAGTCGTGATATCATGATTTACATCCATTTATTCAAACCAACTAAATTAGACTTTTAAATTTTTTTTTTTTAATTGGCCTTCCCATTTCTTATTTTTCAGATTCGGTAATTTAATTTAGTCACAATTACCTTCTTGGGCCTCTCTGCTAGGTTTGTCTGTTGATCCACATCTTCCTTCCAATTGGACCTCTCTAACAAGCTAATATATGTCGGTGTGGTTGGGCTTTGGGCCTTTCTTCTATAACATCTTTAGCTTCTATTGTAATTGGGCAATTGATATTCTCACACCTTTGAATTATTTTCTCACTTCCTAACTTCTTTTAGTTTTTTATTATAAAAAATATTATTGATGAAATTGTGTTATGTTGTATATTATACAAAACATAAACTAGTTTTTTTTTAAAAGAGAAAAAAAAATATTACTACTAGGAATTAAATGAGGGATCGAGAGGGTAGATAAGATAAAGAGAAACAAATGAATTTGATAACTTATTTTTAAATAAATTATTAACTGCTAAATATCAACTAAAAATAAATATTATTATATATTTACTCGTAATGTAACAAGAACATAAATATTACTGATTCACACATACATTTAGCAGAATAAATTAGATTATTAGAAACTAAAATAATAAAAATAAAATATTATTAAATATATGTATATACATATAATTAAGAATATGATTAAAAAAAGCTAAAAAATATTGAATTATTTTAGACTATATATAAGGTAATTGATAATGTCTACTTATACCAACTTCACTTTCATTATTTTTTTTTCTTATAATTTAACAAATTAAATTATATATGTTGTGTATGTAGATATAAGCCATAAAAGTGGTAGTTGAGATGCATTCAATAATTTATTGGAAAGAGGATATGATAGAAGATAAAGTTTACGAAATAAAAAATTATTTAAACAAAAAGAGTCTCTGTCATTTTTCGAAAATATCCATATCAAACTTTGAAATTTCACAAAGTGACAAAGCAAATAATAAATGACTTGGATTGAGACCTTGCATGAACAGAGTTATAGAAACAGATTATTTGTTGTGTTACATGCATCTTTTGCTACAAAGTCCAAGCTTTCACCTTACGAACAAGACCCATCACTTCTAAACCTACCATGCAACTTGCCACAAGTTGTTGTTGTATATATATATATATATATATATATATATATATATATATATATATATATATATATATATATATATATATATATATATATATATATATATATATATATATATATATATATATATATATATATATATTTATTATAATTTATTATTTTAGTTATATTTATATAAATATGACATAAGACATAAGACATTTTTATTTTTAAATAAAATAATAGTATTTATAGTAGAATCGAAAATAGAGTCAATTATAATTTATATATATTATTTTCTCAATTCATCAAGACATCATTTAATAATAAAATATTGATGAAATAAAAATTTTAAACCAGACAATACAATATATAAATATTAGATCACTCGTTCTCAATACAAGAAAGTGTGATAAAAAAAATCTTATATAATATTAGGAATACAATAAAATCAACCCTTAAATGTTTTGAGTTTAATAATATAGTATTTTTATTGTTTTTTATTTTCTATTTTTAAAATAATATATGCGATTTTTTCTCTATTAATTTTGATTTTTATAGTATATAATTTTCACTTGTATAATTAATTTTAAATTGATGTTTTTAAAAATATATAATTAAGATTAAAAGTAAATCATTTGAATTTTATAAGAAAAATGAATATATTACAAAATTAAAATAACAAGAAAAATTTCTATTTTACAAGAATTGTTTTAGAAAATACATTTTGTAAGAATCAAAATCATAAAAAATATATATATTGAAATCGTATAAATAAAATAATTTTATGATTTCAAGATCGTTATTTGATTGATTTTCTGAACCAGTGCTACATGTTACTTACTATATAAATGTATATATTCGAATTTTGATAAACTTATTTAAGAATAAGGAAAAAAATATAAATTATATATATATATATATATATAATATAAAATGATTTTACAATCCGATTTGTATTTAATTTTTGAATGAAAAAATAAAATTATTTTATTTCATATCCAAAGTGAACATAATTCAAACCCTGAATAACTTAATTAATCATTTAGTTAAAGGAGAGAAGTTGACATAATTTATGACTTTCATATTACAATCATTTAATATTCTATTTATAGAAATCAAATAATGTATGTATTTTTTTAAATATACTAAAATATTAATTATTTGATAATATTGTTTAATTTTATTATGAAGCACGATGAAATAAAATTGCAATACTTAATTTATATATGTTGTAGTAATAAAAATAAATATGAATGTGAAGATTTATCGTAATTACTTTAAAATTCACCGATTCAAATCCCTTCTTTGTGAATTAGTATTTGAACACAATTTACTTCAAAAATCGGTTATTTATACTTTTTTTTCTATAATAACGGTAATGATATTTGAATTTAAAAATTTATCCAACTTTGTTACTTTGTCTTATTGTTTAAAAATTACTCATTTCATGAGTAATATTTATATTATTATTTTTTTCATCTTTTATAACCTTAATATTTTCTTGAGCTTTCGTTCACGATGTCTTATATTCAATTATTATGTTTCACACCTTTCAAAAGGGATAATGAACATAAAGGAAAAACAAAATCTTGTGGTGCATTTGACACATCAGAGAAAGAAAAACATTAGCTGAATTAATTTATATTTGTCAGACAAAATTGAATCTGAAATGAAATTTTCTCTTCTGTCAGGGGCCTATATACTACACATTTCTTTACTCTTCTCACTAGTTAGTTGGTGAGGCAGAGAAGAGGTAAATGTTTTAGGTACAATCTAGGATGTATCATCAATTTTCAACTGGAATTAACCACTTTTGGAGGCTCCATTTTTGTCCTTGTTTTATCTGGGGAATGGCTTTCTTCTGTTTCCTTCCTTTTGTTACTGATTTGATGATGGTCTTCTTCATCCTTAACTTTTGATTTCATCAAATGGGGCCTCAGCCTGTTTACATCTGACTGTTGAACTGGTTTCAAAAAGAATTCATCAGCTCCATCTTCCAGGCATCTGCTTCAAACAAAAAAGAGGCCTTTTTAGATTTGAAGTTTAGTAATTTGATGCCCTCAACATTTTTTAATTTTGAAATATCTTGAAATTAAGATTGGGGTAATACGAGTTAATTTCCCTCACCTGTTGATCCTTGATGGGACATTCTCTGAGGACATAATCACCACTGGTATGTCTTTAAGAGATTCAGATTCCTGCAATTCAGTAACTTTTTGTTATTTTTCTAGCATCATACACCATAGAAGATACCAGCAAGCACATCACAAAATTGGTTTGAGATTTGTTGTCATTAAAGACTGACAAATATCTCACTTGAGATATATATATATATATATATATATATATATATATATATATATATATATATATATATATATATAACATGTTATTTCAAAATTTTGTTTGAATAGTAGGGGTTGAAAACATCAAATTCAGTCTAGAATTTGATTTAAGTGATGCACAAAAAATTTGGAATTGGGCAGAAGGCGATAAGATTTTTTTATGGAATATAAAAACTAGATCAATAACATAATGAAGAGTAACACTAAGCCCTTTTATCAGTCTAAAAATCCGAGGAGTTTACCTTGATCTTTCTCAGCAAGTCATAGCCTGTCATTTCTGGCATACAGTAATCGGTTATGATCAGGTTTACTTCTACATCCTGCAAAATAAGTAAAAGGAATTAGATCATAATCATTCTAAACTTTCCCATTAAAAAAAGGTAAAATTATTTTGCAATAGAATTGAACCTGATTGGCTTCTAGAGCAATTGTGGGAGGCTCTTCATTTCTCTTCCCATCTTCAACCAAACCAAGAAACTTCAAAGCCTTACTACCAGAATCCACTGCAGTAACTGTAATTTACAAAACATACCAAAATGAATAAGATTTCACATCAAGCAAAACCAAACAAACTGCATAAATATATGATTCCTTTGACCATATGGCAGCATAGCTAGAAATGTTAGTCTATATTTTCAAAAAGAACAAACACAAAAATGGAGAGAAGGAGAATTACCATGAAAGGAGGAGGTTTTGAGGAGCCTCTCAATCAACATTCTGTCAATAAGGCTGTCATCAACAGCCAAGACATGAAACTGTGTCTCTGCAGCCATACCCATGATTGTGATGATGAAGTGAATTTGCAAGGCAAAACAGGAGAAAGAGAAAGAGGAAGAGGAGGAGAAGGATGAAGAGAGTGATGATATGTGATGAAGGAGGGTGACATGCACATTTTAAAAGGGGGGCACATCATGGTCAAGAAGATACAAAATCCACCAAGGAAATCTGACAGTTTGGAAAGCAAGATCCGACAGATTTCATCAAGAATCTGGCGGATCTTCTGGGTTGATTTTTGAATTGAAAAACAAGCAAAGAAGGTGCTGTTATTGTACCAAACTCAAAATCTGACTTGTTCATTATTATTATTCTATTTTGACCCTTTTGCTTGGGGTTAAAGACAAAAAACTATTGGGGTGTGCCACACTGTTCTCTTCTCCTAATCTATTACCCTTTCACCAGACCAAACCATTATTCTTAATTATTATAAGTTGCTGTCATTTGTTTGTTATCACTGTTCAGAGTCGTGTGGACTCTGTTTTATCCCATGCACGTGCATGACCTGCTTAGCACTATGACACACCCACGTACCACAAAATGTAATTTTCTCGTTACTTATCAAATGTTTGTCTTCACTCTTCTTTCAAGAGCCAATATTGACCTAAATTATATATACATAGAATTTTCAAACCGATTCTGTTGCTCTTTCTTAGAACATTCCATTATTTTAGTTCTCATCATTTTATTTAATTATGAAACAAATATTTCCTTTTATCTTCATTTTTTCTTTTCAGGGGTCAATATTTATTGTTTTAAAAAGATAAATATATAATTGCAGCAGCATCATGTGAGTGATTTAAAAATTACAAACATTTCACACCCTGATAGTTCGATGCAGATCCTCTGAGAACATAAAAAAAGAAAAATAATATCTTTATTGAAAAAATCATTTTCATAATATTTGGCCAGATTCTATTTAATTTGGTCAAATAATTAAATATCTGATCTGCAACAAATCTTCCCCTGGTGAAGAAGGTCATGAACCCGTTGGGGGCATTCTTGGAATACATTATCAATATATGCACGCCTAACTGATAAATAACATCATTATTGAAGAAATATATGCAAATATTCCTCATTTGGTGGACCATTCTTGTGGTATAAAAATTGAATAAATATTTATGGAATTTGGCAACTCAACATAGTTTTAGCTTAATATTTTATTTTAAATTAATAATGATAATACTTATCAAAAGGTGATCTTCTAAAAGTGTTTATTCACATTTTTAATGGAGATTAATCATAAAAAAATTGATTAATATTTTATTATAATAATAGTAACAATAATAACATAATAATGCTTTGTTTAACAAAAAACATTATTAAATTATGCAGTCAATTGTTCAAGAATGTTTCACGCGTTGAATTTGGCAAATTAAGAAACAATTTATTTAATAAAATCAATTACTAATTTTTTTAGACATGTTATTTGTCTAACCACTTACACAATCATTTGTATAATAAGTCTATCTCTTTTCTGTTCATCATTTACATATCTCTTTTCTCAATTCATTTTTATTAAATTATGTAAATATTGAACACCAACAACTATGTCTAGAGCAATAGAGAAACACTATGCAAGTTGCAAGGAAAGCAAGAAGATTGTGATAAGATGATGTGAAGGTGTTAAACATTGATTATTACTTGATAGCATCCCCATCAAATTGAGATCCCCAATAGAGAGATATGGTGACTCAGGTGGCACCTTTCCTTAATGGGCACACCACGTGCCTAGATTTTCATAAATTTTTGTGTGTTCGAAAATCTTGCACACCATCAGGACCACATGCACACTCAACTTAATTTCATCGCATATATCTTACATGGATTATGGATAGGTTGGCATTGCCTGTTGCAGATCCTGTTTGGACTTTGTGAGAGAAGCACTTACTTTGAAGACATGATGAGAACCAACATAAAATAAAACAAAAAATCGTTTTTGCTTCGGCTGCTTCCAATGGTGTAGGATCAGTTTTCTGGGTTACTTTTGCATCAGTGGTTTTCTATTTTATTATTGTTTTGCTTGTGTCAATCCCACATTGAAGAAAAGGAGTGAGATAATTGGGGATAACACATAGTTTACCCACCCATGTTGAGATTTTATAGATATATATGGAATGAAACAGCAAAAAAATTCTTTCAGATCTAAATATTTAAAAGTATAATTAGATCATCATTAGTGAATTTTGCTTTCAACAATGATAAAATATTGTGGTGGCTATGAGCAACTGAGAAAAATGTGAGAGTAATTGTCTCTCTGTCAAGGTTAGTGTGAGTGACATTTAATAAGTCACATTTTACACACACACCATCAGTGTCAATTTAGTTATCAGTCGCGGATCAAGATCTCTCACTCCTATATTATTAATAAATAAATAAATAAAAAATGAGAAATCAAATATACAAATAAATATATTTAATAATTATTAAATTTAGGTAAAAATAATAATAAATATTAATATAAATTACAAAATTTTGTAAATAATAATTAAATTTAAGAAATCAAAATTATAAATATTAATATAAATTATAAAATTTTAAAAATAATCATTAAGTACATAAATATTAATAATATAAATATTAATGATAAGAAGATCAACATCTTCTAATAATAAAAATATAGTAATGAAGTGAAAAAATGAAAGATGTTTGTAAAATATAGTAATGAAGTGAAAAAATACCTATAATTTAATGTTTTAAGATTTTAGATTGAAAATGATATTAATCTTTATGTGAACTAAACTCATATTACATTGGTGTTATTTCTCTTAATGAATTCTTTTTCGAAAAACTCAATATTTTATTTTTATAAAATATCTTTGTGGGTTAAACGAAGAAAATATATATCTCTCATAACCTACATGAAATCAAAATATTAAAAACTATTTTGATACCTAAGTTTATAAACAACTTGACTTTAGTATTATAATAATAATTTTAAATTTTTACTATTATTATATTAATAAAAATGGATTGTAGGAAGGTTGTCTCTGTGAGAGGTGTAAACATATCAACATTCCACTGTAGCATTTTCTATCCTCGCAATTTAGCAATTGAATTGACCGCCGTTACCATCATAATTCAAAATTGATTCACGAAATTTGACCGAATGAAGGGTTTCACTAGTGTGCGATACTTTAGTACTATCATATTAAAAATATTTGAATTTAGTAGTTGAACGATGAATTTGAATTTAAAAATATTCTTGGACATAGTTGAGGAAAGTTGACATTAAAAACATTCTTTTTAAGATTTGTTAACTATCTTCTGTACGTTTGAATTAGAATATAAATTTGAAGGAATGAAAAATAATGAATTTGAAGGAATTAAAAACATTTCTTATTATTAAAAAATAACTAAATTACAATTAAATAAAAATTATTATTAATACAATTTAAAATATTATTATAATTATTTAAATTATTTTTATTTAAATTATTAATATGATTATTCTTATAATTTTATTATTAAAATAATTATTAATACTATTATTATTATTTATATTTTATATATAACATGATCTCCTAACTCTCTCATCCTTTCTTCTCATAAGCCCAAGGATGAAATTTTTCTTGGAACGAAAATTCAACTTTCATTGCAAATCTTCGATGCTCACTTTCCGTGTGCTGATCCAAATAGACGCTTAAGGGAGTTGGAATGGATACAGGCTAGGTCATATTTTAGGACGATTTTAAAACTGATATTTATTATTATAATAATAATAATTTAAAAAATAAATTATATCTTATTCATTATATAGTTTTTTGTTTTTTTACAAAATTCAGTAAAACCTACTAAATCAGAGAAATATTCGTTAAATAAAAAATTGAACATCATCCCGTTAAAAATGCTAAAGAAATTACTTTTGTTTTATGTTAAAGAGATTGTTTAAAAACCTATAGAACATTGTCACACAAAAAATAAGATTACCCTATATGTGTAAATATAATACAAAGAATATAAAAATTATCAACAATATATATAAAAATATGTTTTATCATATATTTAGAAATAGGATATTCAATCATCTACGTAAAAAATAAGAAAAGAATAGTAATAATGTGATTATCTGAAGTTTAACATAAAAATCTATACAACTTAAATGATTCTAGTGTTACAAATAAAAGAATTTGACAATATTATAAATAATGAGTTTATAAATTATTTAAAATGATATAATAGGCAAGAAATATTCACAATAATATATTAAATATTTTTATTCATAGTTATATTTAATATTTAATGCTTTTGATTTACAGATAGGACAAATATTTTTCTCACGTAACCATCTTGTTATACAATTTTTGTGATATTCATGTCCACATCGAAGAATTCCAATCTCCTCTTTATTCTTATATTCATCCTGTAAATCAGTGTGGTAGTATTTCAATTAACAACAAAGCAAAATGTTCAAATAATTATATATGTTACTAAAATTTATACCTGACATATTACGCAAATATCAATTTCTTGATGATCAGAAGTTGTATCATCGAAGTTAGTAGGTATTAGATAAGTTTTTATCTTCACTTGACGTGCAATTGTCTCTTCCAACTGTTCATTTAACACAAAATGCGTATGTTATCCAATGTGAAAGATTTAAATTAATTTTTTTTCATAATCACTAAGTTTTTAGTATATAATGCTATAGACTCCATCATGAAATTATAGAAACTATATATACTTACCTCAAGTAACAAGTCTTCAATAGCCAAGCTTAAATGACCAGGATAGTCGCGATGCATATTATCTGTATGAGAATAAGTGGAGTCTCCAAATGGTGCACTTTCTATAGGCATTATTGAAGAAATGCTTGAAGAATTTGTTGAAAGTCCATACAATGGAGTAATTAATAAATCATCAAAATTGGAGTCATGTGATACTCCTTGTGTTACTCTCGTTTGATCATAAAAGGCATGATGTATCTGCAGACCCATTATTGCATTCTCTGATAGACTTACATTAGCATTGGGAAGTAGAGAGAAATTATATGGGAAAAAAT